AAGAGTGGTTCTCTTAAGTGTGAGTTTTAGGTTCTAGATATTTAATTAAGTGTGTCATATCTTGATTGAATTCTAGATTCAAACCCCAAGTTAAGATAAGAGTGTGTTATATCTCTTAACACCAACTTGGTTTATCCCTTCACTTTACCTCTGCCAATTTCATTTCTCACCATTTCTTCTTCTTGAACTTATTCTTTTCTTTCATCAAAAACCCAAAAAAACAACTCTTTGTTCCACCCCCATATTTCGTCCCCCTCATTTCCTTTTCACCATTCCATAATTCCATCTTCAAATAGCAACTTGATTATACCCCGGGTCTCGGGTATAACATGTGTCTCAGGGTAGAGGTGGGCCACACAGAAGGTGAACCCGCACTTGCAATTGAACGCCACCAGCCCCATCTTCTTCCAGCAACTCCCACACCTGTTCGAGTCGCACGGCGGCATCGGCGGCACCTCTCCGGCTGAATCTGCCGATCGGACCGGTGACACCAACGCCGTATCTCTGATTTCGGCTATGAGATTTGAGGTCTGCGCGAGCTTCTCCATGGGTACGAGTGTTTTTAGATCTGTGCATTGTTGGGTGAAGTGGGGGACTTTAGGGGTACTTTGGTAAAGTCAATGCGTATTTTACACTTCCTTAAAAATGGCTTATAGTCAACGTGGGAAGGTCGATTTAGGACGGAGGGAGTAATAATTATAAATAAATTTCGCAACTCATGAAAATCCTAATTCCATTTTTTGGGCGTGCCAAAAAAAATCCTACCCTCTTTATTACGGAGTATATTTTTAAACAATTGAATGCAGAGTATGTGACTATACAACATTTCCCGCTTTCAAAAAATTTGAATCGTTCACTATTTTTTTAACAGTTCTCTTAAATTTTATGAACGTTGAACCGGTGAAGTTTAAATCTTGTGAAAGTCAAACATGTAATGTTTTTTTAGGATGTAGCGTGCATTAAAGGAAGAAAACTCTAATGTGTGTGTGTGTTTAGGTCTCGTTTGACATCAATGTTAGAGACTAACATTAACCATTTGAAAAGATTATCGGACGGTAACCTTTAACGTATGCTCCCCAGTATTGTATGGTTCGTTCTGGGATAAATTTAGTTCTAAATTTTACAGTAGGTTTGTTGACATTTTAGTTTTTACTCTAAGAAAAACACTATCCCTTTGCACTAAAATAATTAGAAAAATGCTAGGGGTACACCAAATGCTAGGGGTACACCAAATAAATAAAAATAAAATAAAATTGAATGGTGGAGAAAGGGGTGGGGGACAAATGGGATACACCTTTGGTGTACCCCTAACATTGCTCAAATAATGAATGCCCTGAGAGTCCCCTAGTTTTGGCCTTCATTCTCACCAATTGTTGTCCGTTGGTGCATATCCATCCGTATGTTTGAATTCTCTTGAGATATACGGAGTATTTCACTTTTAGTTTATGCTGGTATAGTGGTATGCTTTGATTTGTACTTGGGCACTCTTTCAAGAAATAATTATAGAGCAGGTGGTCTTAACAGCTCAACACAAATATGCAAGATTTACAATAATTTTTTAGCATAAATATAACAAATGAGATAAAGATTCTGGCCTGGGAATTACTTTCTTTTCAATTCAAACTCTTGGAATTTCACTGATCATCTCATCTAGGTCTGTATAGTTCTCAGACATACCTCAGCTCTGAAGATATTTATGGCATGGCATTCTTGCCGACTCGTATAAGTCAATTGTCTGCATCTCTTGCAATCCCCAAGCCGTTTTGTCGCTTCAGAAATTCCAAATCCTTCAATTGAATCCGAACAGCTTCTTTCGACAGTGACTTAGGCACACGAAGCTTGGCTTCATCCTCTGATCCTTCTGCTATTCGATTAGCCTTTGCTTTCACAATCCTCTCCACCTCCTGCTTCCCAACCGTGGGGAAAACAGCCCCGAGCATGATGCATAGCAGCCTTTGTTCTTCTTCTCCCATTGGATCCATCCCAAAGCAGCACACGTAAATCGCATCGACTGCTTTCTCGGCTCTGATTTCCATGGGTATGCTCGGGTTTGGAGCCCTTAGTTTTTCTCGTTTCTGAAATTTGTTCAACCCATTCAAATAAAATGAAGGCAAACTCTTCAATCATGATAATGGGGTCTCACAAAAGAGTAGAGGGTCTGAGGAGAGTATATACGCAGACCTTACTCCGGGTCTGCTCCTGCTTACGAAGTAGAGATGCATAATGTCTCACATTATTTAAAAACATATCATGTTGCTCGTTGATTTTAGGATGAAAACACACTCAACTCAGTATGTTATGAGTCTTAATTATGACTTGTTTGGACTCTGTTACCACTGTTTATCTCCCCCAAGTGGAAGAAAAGAGAGGAAGAATTCAATCATTTTAGCAACTTCATGTTGAATTACACTGGCACAACACTGCTCCATGTTCAATCATTCACTCCAAAACTCCTGTTTAGGATTTTGTCCACATTCTTTTATGGTGATGCTAAATCCACACCTCAATTGGCTATATCCACTCCATTTAATGATAAATGGATAGTTGTGTGCATCACCCCTTTTGTTTCTTTTTTTAAATTGTTAAGGGTAAAACATGTCTTTTTAATATAAATTGGGTGGATTTAGCAAATGTATCTCAAATTCCCCTTCCATTGTTTAATATCACTCTATTTTTTTATCTACATTGTTCATCTTATTCAACATTATTCAATCACCAAACAAGGGCTAAGATTTGAAAGAAAGAAAAAAAATGCAGCATCAATGAATAAAGTATAGACAGACTAACCATTCTTGCTTGCTTCATCATATCCATGAAATATTGCTCCTCGAACTCAATATCGTTCGATAAACGAAGCCTTGCAGCCCCGTCCAGTATCTCCTCGGATTTTAGCAGACCAGCACCGATCGCAGCTAGCCAGCAGCATAATAGAACATGCAAAGGATCCCCGGCCTAAACCACACACAAACTCAAATCAAAGCAGAAATTGACATAACCTCGCAATTCAGGCGCAATGAGAGGCGATGATTCACATTACCCGGCCTCTCAGATCTTGAAATTCATAGAAAGCGTCTGAATCGGTGATGGAACATTTGTTTCCCACTCTCCTTCTGAACTCGGCAAAATCGATCAAATCTCCGCCGATTCCGCCCTCGCCGCTGACGATTCTGGCGATGAGTCCGATCACAGGTAGCGAACCGATGACTTTTTTGGCAAAGCCGGAGAAGGAGTTGCTCTCATCCATGTACGCCTTAACGCCGAGGGCGGTCCCATTAGACGATTCCGTAAGTCTAACAATCCGCCGGGAAAATGCGTGGAGCCGACGTGCGCGGAGGAGAGACGGTGAGAAAGAGTTCGAGTTGAATCTTCGGTTGTGGAGTTGCAGAGCAGCAGAGGGGTGTGTCGCCACCGGCATGGTCGCCGTTTGTCTTTGGCTTTTCTATCCGTTGTTTAGATAAGACTTAGATTCGTTGGGCCTGGACTTTGGCATTAGCTCAATGAGTTACAGCCCAAAACGGAATGAGCAATGACTAGTACGGAGTAGAAAAACTTGGCCAGGACGTGTCACATTTCAATCAATAAAAAATAATTTAGTTACCTATTGACAACGGAATGAAGTGGCATGATTTGCAGTTACAAGTCAAACGTTTTTTTCCATATTTTTACGTATTGTAATTATTAAAAACTATTTTAGTTATATATTTTACAATAAAAATAATTTTACTCCCTTTTTATTATTAAATAATTTTGGATATTCAAGTTCATAATTTCACCATATTGAAATTAATAAATCTGAAATCTTATTAAAGAAAATATAACAAAAATGATTATTAAATAATACGAGTATAAAAAAAGTGGCAATGCAGTATAGTTTGACGCGGTTTGAAGGCTTTATCACGCCTTCTTCTTTCCTTTTTCTCCTTCTTTTTTCCTCTTTTCTTCTCTATAAATTAAATTTAATTTTTTTTTAAAAATTCAACACAAATACAAATTTCTCTTTGTCTATCATCTTTTTTTAAAAAAATTATTATTCAAGTATTTTATTTATTTTTTCATGAATGTAATTTTTTTATTTAATGAATGTAATGTTTTTATTTAATTAATGTAGTTTTTTTATAATGAATGTAATTTTTTTATTCAAAATCATGGAAACCGACCTTTCTACGTTGTTGGGTTTCGAACGGATGATCTACGAGCAAAGACAAAGAGAGATCAAGACGAAATATAATTACCTTAGTTTTTTTATTAATGTATCTTTTTTATTATTGTCGTTTTTTTTATTTTAATGAATATAATTTTTTAAATTTTAAATTATTGTCGTTTCAATTTCTTTAAATTTAATGAATGTATTTTTTTTGTATTCGTGTTTCAATATAATTAAATAATAATGAAGATGTATATTTAAAAATGTAAAAATGAAGGTTTGAAGCCCCGGGGCTTCAAACCCATTTCCAGTGAATTTTTGGTGTAAGTTAAAGCTGACGTGCCAGAGAGAGAAAGTTTGAAGCCCAGATTTGAAGCTCTGGGGCTTCAAACGTATTTCCAGTGCTCTAATGAAACGGGATAAAAACTATACAGAAAAAAAATGATAAATTGGTTTTTATTATTGGGGATACTAAAAATCAAACTAGATTTGATTCTTTTTTAAATGATTATTACATGTTTAATCATTTTCAAATTGGGGTGCCTTTTTTTGTTTAAAACCTAATAGTTTGAAAAGAAATATCCTTAGATAACATGATAATAATAAAAATTATTAAAAAGGAGTCCTAAGTTTTTTAAGACCAAAATAGGAGTACAATGGCCGTATGATGTAAGAGTGCATGTTGACATTGTGAGCAGTCAACTATCGGCGATCCGCATTGACACTTTGGTGGCAGGCAACGACGGATGAAAGTGTAGCAGTTACAATATGATAATGTGGTGCGTGTAACAATATAAAAGTGGTAGTGTCAACTTCCGTTTTGGCGATGGACTAATTAAATTATGATTTCAAATATCTCAATACAACTTTGTAGGTATTTTTTTTATGCTTGTAAGTTTATCAAAACTACTTAGAAGTTGTTTTAAATTTATAAATTAGCTGATAACATGTGGTGACCGACAACGGAGTGGTGGACATTGACAATAATAGTTGGAGTGGTTGACCGTTAAGTGAGATATCAAACACTTTATCGATATACTCCGTATCTCAAATATAGAAGAGACAAATAAACATTCTTTTGGAGAGTTTATGATTTCTGGTGAAACCAATTTCAAATTCTTTTACTACGTATGTTACAGAGTTCACTAAACATAAAAAAAACTCTCTCCGTTCTAAATTTTGTTTTAAGTTACAATTCATTTAATCAACATTAGTTACTTTATGTAAGTATTTTGATTAGTCATTTAATAAATTAATATAGTTATATATTATCTTGTTTGACAAAACTTTTGATATGGTTTTTAAATATCTGGAGACCGGAGTATATAATTTTTTAAAATTCTACACATATAATCAAATAAATTAGATTGAAAATAACTTTAGTCAAGTCACAGAAACCAAAAAGAAAAAATGTTTTAAAATCGAGGAAGTAATTCTGATATCGAGATACATCATAACTTATACTCCCTCCGTTTGGAAAAACACTTCCCATTTGGATTTGGGGCAAAAATAAGGAAGTGTTAAATTATACTCCCTCCATCCGCCTAAGATGTTCTCATTTTGACTTTTGGTGGTTTTTAAGGAGAGTTGAAAAAAGGTGAAAGTTTACCATAATACCCTTAATGAAAAATGGGTGGAGTGTATTAAATGAGGTGGGTGAGGTGTAATAAATAAAGTAAGTGGGGGTAGTTGTGGTATTTTACTTGTTAAAAAATGAAATGAGAAGATCTATTATGGACAAAGAAAAAGGGCTATTGGGAAGATCTATGATGGACAGAGGGAATAGTTGATTTCTAATTTTGCCCCTGATGTGATGGGTAAAAATAAGATGTGATGGATAGATTAGTAGAGAAAAAGTATGATGTGATAGGTAGGGTACGAAAAAGTAAGGGTAAAAGTGGTTTTTTAATAGAAAAGGGAAGTGTTTTGTTGGAAGTAAAAAAAATGAAAGAGGAAGTGTTTTTGAGAACGGAGGGAGTATCTTTTGTGCTTACTAAACACTCTATTTCTTAGTACTCTCTCCGTTCGAATTTGAGTTGCTTGTTTACTATTTAAAGGTTATTTACTTTCTTTTCTTATTTTCGTTACTCACATGATAAAAATATAGTCGTGTCATTTCTTTTTTTATAGAATTTTTGATGTAAATTTTTAACACATGTCATATCTCTCATAGATAAAATATGTTAAAATAATTTTAGTCAAATATTATAAAACTAAACAAGCAATTGAAATTAAGGCAAAGACTGATTTTAAATTTTTAATACCGAGTATTTAAACAAAATTAATTTGAAAGAAATCAGCGTATCCCTTAATATCCGGCTGTTGAAAGCGATTAGCTACTATTCCCATTTTCCCCATTATTAGCTGGCCGCCGTAAAAGTGTAAAACGGCTGCCGCCCTACCCCTACACACAACTCCTCCCTTGTTCTATGTCTGGCCTGCTACTACTCCGCTTCTGCTCCTCCACAACGACCATTCTCACTTTCCGGTAGCCTAACTCGCCGTCTTCACCTTCCCTCCGGTGTCTCCGACGGTATGTAACGCCTTTTCTCTGATTTCCTCCGTTCAATTTCATTCACGAGTATCACCTAATTTTGAAATTTGCTCCGGGATACTTGCGTAAATCCGTACTTGCTATACTGTTATGCTTAGGTTTGGAGGACCGTATTTCAGCCGGTGGAAGTTTGGAACAGACATTGAAGAGAATGGGAGCCTTCTGCAACGACGACTTCACTTCCCTTCCGGCATACAATTTCACGTCGTTCCGAGATCTGCGATTCTCGAAGCAAGTCCATGATAACGTTCATGGTAACATCTACGTTGACCCGGTAACTAATTTCTCGTTCTCTAGGTGGTTAACTATGCTACTCTTGATCGAATTTTTCATTCATCCAAATTTTAGGGATAGTGATACTCTGCACTTGTGCTAATTATGTTTATTGAGATATACTCCTGGTTATAACTGTAGCACAACGGTTATGGAATATACTCCGGCAGGTAATTTTTAATGATAGTATCAATAGAGAAAGAAAAAAAAAACTAAAGTGGACAACATTGAAAGGTGGACAACTAAATTTGAAAAACAGAGAGCTATTTTTGAGGTTTCAGGCTAAGCTTTTCCATGCATTAGCATTTCTTCTGAATTCTGGTCATGGTGGAAATGTGGAATTAAGGAATTTACTACTTTCAAATTCACATTCCATTAAACTCTTATAAGCAGCATTAACTTCTATCTGTTTTACCGATATGCATGTAATTTTTTTAGAATCATACTTAATAACTATATTTATGTAAATATTAATAGTTGTTAATCTATTGACAGCTCCTTTTGAGGTTCATTGATACAGAGCAATTCCAGAGGCAAGTTCATTTTCACGCTCACACTAATAACTGATTTTAATGTCACACTCACTGTGTTCTTTCCACAGAGATGTGATTGTATTTATTATTTCATGCTCTCTCTCTCTCTCTATCCACATATCGAGTAATGATGATTTTTTCTTTCAGGCTTCGTGATCTTAAACAACTAGGTAAATTTGTGATCTTATGCAGCTCCTGCTTTATTGTCAACTGTTTTTGGCATTTCATAGTCCGGTTGCTACATTTGCTTGGATTTCTAGGATTTTCGATGTCATCTAACAAGAATTCAACTTTTGTGGACTTTATATAATCATATCATCGTTTGCAGATTCTACCGCTCTATGAGTGAAATTGTCATATATTCAAATAAATTATATTTAAGGATTCTGTGTTCAGTTAACTAATGCATGAACTATATACTGATGCAACTTTCTGGCATTCTCTTAGGTGTGGCAAACATGGTTTATCCAGGAGCTGTGCATTCAAGATTTGAGCATTCACTTGGAGTTTATTGGCTAGCTGGTGAAGCTATTCATAAGCTTAAAAGCCACCAAGTATGATATTAAGACATGCCATTCATGTAGAATTCAATTCGTTTTGATATAACATCTATATTATTTTTTAGGGATCAGAGCTTGACATCGATAGTTTTGATTTGCAAACAGTGAAACTTGCAGGCAAGCAACTCATGATGTTTTGACATGGACCATGTGTATCTATTTCTAGTTTAACTAATGCTTTCTTTCTACCACAATTAATTTGCCAGGTCTCCTGCATGATATTGGGCATGGACCGTTTAGTCATATGTTTGAACGTGAGTTTCTTCCTAGGGTCTCTAGTGGCTCAGAGTGGTAAGTCCTTATGTGGAACAGTGGAAGTCATATTCTTGTATTTGAATATATTCAATCTCAAGTATTTAAAATCTATGCAGCATGGAGACAGATGTAATCATGCTCTATGTGTTCATGTTTTGTGAATAACTACTTCTAATTAGCTACAAGTGTTTCCTTAATGGGATATATGCCTATTCAGTTCTTATATAAGATTGGGACCTTACTGGGTTGTTTTATAAGATTGGTGAGTCTTTTTATCTCTTGTGGGATGTATTATGTAAGCCATTTATTCCTTCTTATGAAGGTTGGGACAAGAAGGCTTTATGTGAAATTGGTTTTCTGTCATTTTTGAGGACATGTTATGTTGTGTGTTATATTCATTCTAGGTGTCATGAGCACATGTCAGTGAGGATGATAGACCATATTGTTGATGGGCACCGTATCGATATTGACTCTGAAATCATTAAAAGAGTTAAGGTAGGATAATATTTTGACTTCAATTATTCTGTGATCGTCATAGGATTTTGAGTTATGTGATTAAAGGTTCTCCATTAGTTGATATTAAATTCAAGTTTTATCATTCACAGGAATTGATTCTTGCCAGTTCCAAATATGCTTTGCCAAGAGTAAGTTATCTTTACCCCACTCCATTCAACCTCTGAACCAAAAGGAGAAAGAGATATTTTGTCTGCCTGCATTTCAACTCGATTACTATTTTCCCTTGAAATGTACTTTATGCTGATTTCCTTCTTATTATTCAATGTAGAGTTCTAGAGAGAAGCAGTTCTTGTATGATGTTGTAGCGAATGGAAGAAATGGGATTGATGTTGACAAGTGAGTAAACACTGCAAACTAGACTGGTGTTCATACTCCATCCCTTCTCTAATTTGCACAACCATACATTATACTGATTAATTGCTAGGATGTTCCTTATGATATGTATTTGGCTTTCAGGTTTGATTACATTGTTAGAGACAGCCGGGCATGTGGGTTGGGATGCAATTTCCAGTTTCAAAGGTCTTCTAGTACTGTATGTTCTTACAGATATGTGGAAGAAAGAAAAATATGATACGGTTCATAGCCTAATTTTCTTCCATCATCTTTGTAGATTGACGGAGACAATGAGAGTTATGGGAGATGAAATATGCTACCGCGCCAAAGATTGTAAGTAATTATCATTATTACAAAAAATTAGTGTCTCGGTTGTGCTTGATCATCATTCTTATTTTAAATACTGGATCAATTTACAGATTTAACAATACACAAGTTATTTGCAACACGGGCTGATCTGTACAGAACTGTCTATACTCATGCCAAAGTGAAGGTATGTTTAGAAGATATTCATTCTCTCATTAGAACTTTAGAACCAGTTTTTTAATACTCTATTTATAAACCTACCTTCTTAGATGATTAGGCACTTCTTTGTTTGTTGTCACACATTTTCAGGCAATAGAGCTAATGGTTGTAGATGCACTGGTGAAAGCAAATGGTTACTTGCATATATCATCTTATATAGAGGATCCTTCTGAATATTGGAAGGTTGGTGAACTGTTATTTATGGTTTAAATTTTAATCCTCCTTAAGAATGGTATTCTTACACATCTTCACACTTGTGGGTGTAGCTAGATGACACAATATTAAAAACTATCGAGACAGCTCCCAACCCAGAGTTAAAGGAATCTAGGGAATTGATCAGCCGAATTAGGAGACGGAATTTGTACCAGGTTATTGAAGTTTTAGATGATTGTTCTAATGGTTAAGCATTATATAAATGTGAGCAGTGTTGTTTTTAGCTCTTACAAGTTTGACTAGTTTTGATTTTTCAATATGATAGTTCTGTAATGAATATGCGGTTCCCAGAGACAAAATAGAACATTTCAAAGATGTCACTGCAAAAGATATTGTTTGCTCTCAGGTACTATATGCATTTTGCATTTTATGTTTTGGTAAACAGCACTGATTTTGCATTCTTTACTTTCTTTTGCATAAAGTAGTTTAAGGCGTAATTATATGTATCTCCCATAGGTAGGTGCAGGGAAGTCTCTTGATGAGGATGATATTTCTGTAAGCAATGTAAGGATAGATTTGACGCGTGGAAACCACAACCCTCTTGAAAAGTATGTGAAAACTAGATGATGATTATCTTTCTTTTTTTCAATTATTTTATGCTGTCATGGGGGACAAATGGATAGATGAATTAAGTTTTTATGTATTCAGATTATTTTAGATGAATTGCGAGCAATCCATCCATGACACATTTTTATAAACCAACCCAATCCTTCATTAACAGCCTTTTCGCTAATGGATACGCTGTTCTTCCATCCCAGCGGATTTATTAGATGCCTTAGATGCAATCCAGTGGATTGAACTAAAACACGGGATGCATCATTAACCCTCCATATAATACAAATGGGTGGATTTGATCTAATTCGTCATTATTAATTCTTAAAATATGGATCAAATGGATATTACTTCGGATGGACTACAACCAGATAGATGGGGTGTACGAATTATTGTCACTCCAAAATTGCATATATTGTGCTCCGTAAATGTTATGCCCCACTTTTTATTCATATGTTTTTGTTTTCTCTTCTTTGCATATGTTTGCTGTACCAGCATCAAGTTTTTCAAGGTATGCATTTGCCCGAGAACTTTTTTAAAATTTCTAATCTTTCATCTGTTCCCTTTCCCGTGTTCATCATTGGAATTGCTTCATCAAATGTTGTTATTATTGTAGGACTATGAAAGTGAGGAGAAATTCTCAATATCGGATGATCGGATCAGCCATTTGCTGCCAACATCATATCAGGATATGATAGTGAGAGTTTATTCCAAAAAAATGGAACTGGTATGTACTGCGGGATGATCTTATCCCTTTAAAAAAACGATGCAGACTTTCTTTACCATGACATTTATTTACATATTTTGTAGGTAGGGGCTGTATCAGAAGCGTTTGAGAATTTTCAGCTGAAGACCTATGGAATCAAAGCTCAGGTTCATCCAACCCCCGAGAAGAAAAAACGCCGCTGCATAGATGATAAGTTAGTTTAGTCGCTCGCTCCCATTGGTGTCTCTTCCAGATCAGGTATATAGTTGCATAAGTATATGCTGTGTGTGATTTGAAAAAGGTCTTGTCATTTGAGCAATTAGGGTTTTAATTTTTGTAAAAGTAGGCTTGAAATGCTCGTTATATACTGTAATATTTTGATATTAATAATGATGTTTAGAGACTAGAGGAGGTTGGTTGGTTAGTTAAGTCAACTTTGGATAGTTGAGGGATAAAGACCCTAATTTTCAAAAGCACTATAAATCCCAGCTTGGAAAAAGGATATATCCTTTTATTTCAAGAAAGTTTGCCAATTTTCTTTCTCTTCTCTATTAACAAAAGTTCCTTCGTCTCTTTTCCTTTATTATTACTACCTAGTTCTTACTATCTAGGTTCTTAAATATTTGTCCAGTTTAACTTTTTCTGATCAACTGTTTTTAACTTTTGACTTATAATTAAATATAATATATATTGTATGTTAATTAGATAAAATAATATTTTGAAAATATTGATATAATAAATTTAATAAAACTATTTTTGTATCAATATCTAATATCATTTTTATTTAATTTGAGATCAAAGTCTATTAATTTTGACCGAAAAAAGTCTAAAGTGAACAAATACTCAAAAAAATGGAGAGAGTATTTGAATTTTGAACCAGATATGACTAGAAATGGTCAGGAAAAAAATCAGAACATATCACCTCTCATAATTGGGGCAAGACAATTATGCAAAATTAAAAACATTACGGGTATAAGAAATTAAACCAGAGAGATTTGATTAGGTAAAAAGGGTTTTCAATCGGATCATATATTTCTAGACGAGCGAAGTTCTCTACGTAACAATTTTGATGTGGGATGATGCATACAATTTGATTTGAGCTGTTATCTCAATAATACGGAGTATTAAGTTTTGAATAAAGTTTTTGTGATTCAAAACCAAAAGTGGATTTTGAACCTGGCACAATTTGCTTAAAAATGGATTAAATCTGTTTGAATTCGTCGGCCTAAGTGCCTAATTGGTCTACTACGGTAAGTCTTTTTTTCCCAAATGATATATTCCCTCCGTCCCGTTTTATATCGTCTGTTTTGACTTTTGGGCATATTTAAGGAAAAGAAAAAATAGAATTAATTTTTCAAAATTGTCATTACTTTTTAGAAGGGATGACTATGAATGGTGAAGAAGGGTGACTTATTTTAGGAGTAGTTTAGGTATTTTATTTTTAAAAGTTTACGATAACAACTAACAGGCAACTTATTTTGGGACGGAGAAAAAAGGCAAACAGACAATTTAAATTGGGACAGGGGGAGTACATTTATATATAAAAAATTATTTACAATGACAACCTATCGTTCTCTTTCATTTCATAAATTATACTACCTTCGTCCCAATTTATAACGCCTGTTTACGATGTTTGACTGAAATTATACCTGTTTCGGTTTACGATGTTGGACTGAAATTATTTTCAAACCATTTTATATGACAAATGGTATAGAATTAAAAAATAAAAATTACATATTAAAAAACTACATCAAAAGATCTACAAAACTAGTAGTGACAATAATATTTTATTTTATCAAATTGCTAACGGAAATAGAGAAAGAAAGTGAATGAAGTTTGACCCTGTGAATAGTAAACAGACATTATAATTTGGGACGGAGGGTGTAAGAAAAATATTATGAAGGAAAACGTACGGAGTATTCAGAAAAAATTGTTTTCATTGCGGGAGAGAGGGAGCAATTTAGATTAGTACTTCGTGTAATCGTATAATGCATACTTATTATGGAGTGCATTTTATGTATGGTTATTGCTAAGTTCACCCCACACTTGGTTATATCTATTCTTTTTTGTGTTAAATAGACAAATTTACCCTTGATGCTTAATATAGGGAAAGAAAGAAATGAAAGGACACAAGTGTCCATTTCTAATAAGTAGAGTGGATTTAGCCAATAAGGGGGTGGATTTAGCATCACCTTATATGTATAATGCAAACACTAGATCACCCAATTAGGGAGTAATATAAATTTAAATATTTAAAAAATAAATATTCGAGACAAATATTCGAGACAATTTGTGTCGAATCGATCTTCCGTCCTAAACATACTTGATCATGAAAATCCATTCCCCAACTTAAACTTGCATTTTATGTTATGAGACTAAGCATTTTATATTTATCATATTTAAGTAAATAGTGCTGCGAAAAGAATTAATATTGACAATATTTAAGTTTGAAGTAAACACTACGGAGTACTCCGTAGCTTTAAACAAATTAGCACATTTATCTTCTTATTTTTTTGAAAGTTATGACAGTTAATGCAGCAAAGCATCAAGGGTCAAACAGAATAAGCTTCCATGCTTATATTACGTCTCAAAATATCTTTCACAATAACACAATTTCATTTTCTAAATATTATTTCTTTGGTCATAAATCTCAATGGCACAATTTCATTCTACTGATAATTTACCAAAAAACGATAGATAGGGGGGAGAGTACCAAGCAAAGAAAAGAAAGAATTTTCTGCTGCATTGCACTGATCTCTACAACCGTTAATTGGATGACGATGTTGTGAAGGTGAAAAAAAATAACAATCTTACAAATTAACCAAGAGAATGAAAAAAAAGCGAGGCTAAAAGGAAAACGAGTCCTCTCGGTTTCAAAAAAGGTTGAAATAATCCATAATTTAGTTCAAGTGAGCCATCATAACTAACCGGCAATCTTATAGGTTGGGTTGGCAAGGTTGTCGAGGCCAGAGACTACTTGCATAGATTCGATGACGTCTCCAACTTTGAGATCTGCCAACAATTCTTCATTTTCTACCACATACCCAAACACCGCATAGCGTCCATCCAAGATATTGGCATTGCTAGGGGTCAGCTCACTTTCTTTCAGCAGCCAAAATACTTGACTTGACCCGGAATTATTCTCAAATTCCTGTTTTCATCATTAGAAACGAAAATATAAAAAAAATGACACTTGTGGAATGATTGTATTTCATACACATCATCATCATCATTTGGTAATCTGGGAGCTTACATCTCTAGCCATGGCCATTGTCCCAAAAGCATTGAATGGGAGCCTCGTTTGTGCCTTAAATAGACCAAGCTCCTAGTATGATGCACAAGTTCATCAGATATTACATGAAGCCATAAAGCAATGACACTAAGGGCCCGTTTTTAAAAGTTACTTGGCTGAAATCACTTGATGACTTCAATAAAAGGAAAAGCATTGGTAAGCATCTATTTTGGCCAAAGAAGTAATCAAAGGCTATTTATTATGCCTGCTATGCATATTCTGCTAATACAGAATAAGCCAATTATGACTACCAATCCGAGCCTAAAGATTTTTTCGGGAGGAATAAGTAAAACCAATAGTTGCAAACCTACTTCCAAGGTGGAGCCATAAAGTGGTACTTTCTCCCCAATCACCATAATTTCAAGAGGTATAGTTCGTGTTTTCTCCGTGCTGGGGTCAATAAAACCTTCCGCTGGGCCTTCAGGATCACCGGTTTGTACTACAAAGCCATCAGCTGCAGAAAATCAAGTTTAACACATCAGTTACTTATTTAGTACGAAGAAAACATCTAGATCTAATACATCAATATGTGTGCATGGCTTTGTAGTGTTTTTGACATATATACCTCTTTGAATCTCCATGCCATCATAGAAATGCCTTTCAACCAAATCCAAAAAATTCCCAGAAGTAACAGGAGCATTATAACCATCTAGAACAATACGGAAGATGCATTCATCAAGGTTGGGGTTTTCCTTAACTTTGACCTTCATGTCAACGATCGCTCTTCCCTTTAGAAATGGCCTATTTTGATACTCTTCAGGCACTTCATATGGGAAACCATCTACCATATCCTCTTCAACACTGCAGAAATCCAATGCGCCAGGAAGATCTCAGCTGCAGTCCACGGCAAGCGTTCAAATGAGAATTGCAAAATTTTGGAAGTTAGGGTTTTTCATTTCATTTTTTTCAAGGTCCCATCTGCCTTCTTTACCCGTAACGTAAACGAAATCACCTCATCCCCTACCCCCAGTGCATGGGGCTATAGATATAGAACCATTTGACATTCATTTATGGCTTGTTGGGAACTTGGAAAATGTTAGGGGATAGAACTAGAAAGGAAAATATGGTGGAGATATGGAAGGAATAAAACTGTGGGGACAAATAAAAAAACCTGCTTCAACTCGAGAAATCATTATTAGATGTTAGTTGAAACTCAATTTATCAAATCATTTATATTAAATAAAGTCTAAGGAATCTAAATACATGTGAACTTTTTAAAAGGTCTGACCAAATTTAATTTTCCTTGCTACTCCATATTTTCAAAGGACTAAGGCAAAACTAAGCATTAAAAACCATTTTCCTCCGCATTTATTTTTCTTAACCATTATAAAGTATTTGAGTTCCACACATAACTTAACCATTAAAACCACTTTCCTCAGTATTTACATCAAGACGTTGTCTAACCCCTTCAAACCTTCCCTGGTTGCCCCCTCCAAGACCTTCCGAAACCCTCAATCCAACCTGACCCCTAAGGTTCATTAGAGCCTCAAGCTCATCAAATAAGACTACATGGCAGTTGCCAATAATGTCAGTTGTTCCGATAAGCATGACATGGTGAATTAACCTCTTTTCTACATGCACTTACTTTCCGACATAGTTAAGCAATTCCTTCTGTTTGGGAGCAATAGCATCCCGGTCCTTATCCTCAACGATGATTTTTTGAAGCTCCTCCAAACCAACTTCAAGTTTGTCAAGCATTTCAGTCCCATGTTCAACCTTTGACTTTGCCAATCCTGAAATAATCGAAGTCTTCCCCTGTTTGAGGACCTGGGATGCCTGCCTTACATTCTACAAAGCTCATAACATAACAAGCATGAAAATTAAAATTCCAATCAATGAATGGATAATGAGATGGTTTCTTACTCTCTCAGCAGAACCAAGGGATTTGAGACCAGGCAGCTTGAGACTCTCAGTGATTTCTTCAATGGGCCTTTGAACTTCTCTTATAGTTTTGTTGTCAATAGGTAATGCATATCTCAACAGGGCCCCCGGATCCTTAATCGGAGGCTCAGATATCAACACAGACAAATCTGGCAACGCTGGCTGACTGCTGGCGCCTGCTTGCCCCCCTGGGAATCCACTTAACAACAAGCCTGCAGCTAGCAGTACAGAAATGGCGCATTTCTTCAACCTGGAAAACAACTCGCCTTCCTCGTCGTCCCTCTGTACTCACGACATTTCAATCACCAGAGCTTAGCAGCAAAAAGAAAAGGTGTACTGCATATAAATCGTCGATTCATCTACGATTGTGTATTAAGGGAAAAAAAACATGCCTGATTATGAACGGAGAGTCGAAACGGAGGAGAATTTTTCCGAGAAAAACGCGGCGGAGCAGAGCGGCGGCAAGTGTAGGAGAGCGTCGGACGAGCAGACCGGATGAATCTGAACAAAGGACTGCGTTTTGTGGGCTTGAGCGTGGAAGGTGAGATTGAGGAAGAATAGCTGTGGTGACATGAAATGAAGGATGAAGCCATTGAATTGGGGGGAATGGATTTGGGAAGAGGGAAGGAGGAACTTCAAGAAAGCAATTGGATAAAAAAAAACTCCAAAGGATTGGATTCATTTGGATTTGGAGAATTTGGGTAATGCCTAAAATGGATAAGAGGATGAAGTTGTTTTACTCCACTCTAAAAAAAATCTCACGTCTAAATAAATTTTAACCATTTATTTTTACTTTTAAACAAAATTTTTAAATTCTATAAAAACCAAACATTTGAAAGATTTTTATTTACGGAGTATAATGTGTAAGGAGTATTCATTTTGTATCTTTTTTTTACTTAAATAAATTTCAGATAATGTAGTAGTGGAAAATTACTACTATCTCCGTCCCTAAATATTCACAACATTTGTTTTTTGAGCAATCACGGGAACTTTTGTTTATTTCGACGTTTTCATTGATTATTTAATAAAATAGAATATTCTTGACACCTCTTATTTCGAAAAACTTTTAATATAGTTTTTTTATGAAATATTTGCACTAAATAGCACTAAAGCTTAAGTCATTTCCCTAAATAGCACTTAAATTGTTTTATTCTCTAAATAGCACTTATAATGTCCATAATGTCCAGTGATGGCGAAATTTTGCTTGAATAATGACTAATGCATAATGACTAAAAGTGCTACATTGGAAAGAAAAACATATGTAGTGCTATTTAGAGAAAGTAATTATGTTTTAGTGCTATTTAGGTAAATTCCTCTATTTTTTTATATGTAAATTTTGTTTTTATTTTTATACCAATATGTAAATAAAATGAATTAAAAAAACTTAATATTTTGCCTTGGAAATACAAATGTGGCAAATAATTTGGGACGAAGAGAGTATAAAATTGAGAATACTCTCAAGTACTGGAGTAATTTTTATTCACTTAAGTGTCCACAAATAATTTTCATAAGAATACTTACCCAAATACTCCGTAGTAATCTTTAAAATCTTATTTATATACAATTAAATATTAACACAAATTCCATAAATAATCTCTAGAATAAGGTTGGAATACAAGTCAATCATGATTTGCTTTTGATGGGTATATCCTCATACCCGACCAGGACAACCGAAAAGGACAGGTCAAAATATGACCGATCACTTTCTTCGATCACCAAATGAGGACAACTCTTCGATTGAGACGGGTCAAAAGTTGACCTAATGTGACCGGTCACTTGAGACGGGTCACTTTTTGAGGAAAGTGACCGGCCACATATTGGACGATAGCCAAAATGTCACCTAATGTTACGAAGAATATTTCGGAAGACCAAAGAGACGGGTTGAGGTCAAGAAATGACCGGGTAACCTTTGAAAAAAGGTGACCAGTCATATCACATTACTTGGCTAACATTGGTCCAGTCTCTTTGGCATGGCGAACCACGTCAAAGATCGAAGGACCACCCCGCCACTCATCCATCACGAGACATACAGTTAAAGGGATGTTTGTCATCTTGCAGGGTTGATTGGATTGAGAATATCCATTTTATAGTCTTTGATTGAACAGTGTCTTGGCTTGTAACTATTAAAATCAATGATTGTACAGTGCTTCCATTAACTACAGTGACATTCCCACGGGCTTCCTATTTTGTCCATGGATGAACATGGGAAGGTCACAAATCCTCCTCTATAAATATGATGAATATGGATAGAGGAGGGGATCTAATTTTTCTCTCACTAAAGTTCACTCTTGAGATAGAGTAAGAAATATAATTCGGACTGAGGAGATTTACCCGGTCTAGGTCATACTTTGTGTTCTTGTTGTATGTATTTTATTTACGGGTCGAGTGTGTCCAGGTCAAACCCAGTCAACCCACCCACCTATATTTACACTATCAGCTTTTGAAATTCGGTGAAACAAACTAGATTTTAATTTGAGACAGATAAGTGTTACATGAAATCAGGAAGTTCATTTGGGGTGGGGTGGGGTGGGGGGGGACAACATATTTGTATTGATAAATAAATACGGAGTATATAAAAATGTTAACCTCCCACTCTCCCAGCTCACTTGTAGGTGTATCAGGACTCCTTATTCAGGAGGCAAGTAACTAACGGACTAATTCTAAAGGAAGATGACATTTCTAAAATAAACCTGCTACTAAAAATATTAGTCGCAAAAAAACTGGGCCCAACAAAAAATTAAAACCACAAAAATAAATGTCAAAAGGGAAGGATCGCTTGCATATTCATCACATATTCATCACTGCATGACTATTGAAGATCCTTCCTTTTCTTGACTGTTACTTTCTTGCCTGGTTTAGCCTTTTTAGCTGCAACCTGTTCATATTTGATAGCTGCATCCAAGGAGTATATACGCAGAGCAAGGGAAGACAGTGTGGATATCGTTACGGCTGCTGAGATTGATGACCAGAACCACCACGAACTGCTCAGGTACTCCGACTTTATCGATTCTTCAAACACGATCAATGCCTGAACCATCTGAATCATGCATGCCCAAGTATTGAAGTCATGTGAGATACATTAACAGAAATTATTGAGTCGTCATATAAAGTTGTCTGAATTTGCAAATACCGAGGAGACTACAATAAAAAATTACTGAGTTTTCATATTAAGTTATGGATAGGCAGATTTTATTCTATAGACCATGGGCAGATTGAAATTTTATAATCACACGAATG